TAAACAACACAATGATCTCACTTTCTCTCACGCACACGCGGGGCACACGCGCGCACACACACACACACACACACACACACGCACGCACACACACGCACGCACGCACGCCCACACGACGCACACAATACACACTTCATCGTAATCTCTACACGAAAACAGAACGTGTGCGTGCATCATACCCCAAATACAATTTTTACACCGATGCTCTCTCTCTCTCTCTCTCTCTCTCTCTCTCTCTCTCTCTCTTTGTCTGTCTGTCTGTTTGTCTTTTTCTCTCTCTCTCTCTCTCTTTCTCTGTTTCAGTCCTTCTCTCTTTCTGTGTCTCTCTATATTTCTCTCTCGCTCTCTCACACACACTCTGATTTGCTTTCTCTCCCGCGGCCCCTCTCTTTCTCTCTTGCTCTCTCTCTCTCTTTCTCCCTCTCTCTCTCGTACATGTGCCCTCTCTTTCTCTCTCTCATGCATGTGCCCTATCGCTCTCTTTCTCTCCCTCCTGCATGAGCTCTCTCTCTCTTTCTCACTGTCTTTTACTCTCCCCCTTTCTTGCTCGTGCTGTCTCTCTCTCTCTCTCTCTGTGTGCGTTAAATGAGATTAAAACTATAATGATATGCTTCCATCCAAATCGACCCCATTCTGATGTTTTGCACACTACTCCCCTGCCAATTAACCCTTTTCTACTAGTGAGTTAGCATTCTTTATTGCTGTCTTGGTATTCAGGCAAGCATGCATTTACAGAACAATTGTAATGAAGTTTCAAAGGTGAAAACCATTTATTTTTCTATACCTTAGTTGTAGCATTCATCATCGCATACAGCCAGAACACAGCTCTGATAGGAAATGATGGCCTTCTACCAGCAAACACATATCTGCAAACCCTCAAGGCTTCAGCTAAGAGTGACCCGATGAAAATGTTCACATCAGCCCCGACACTGCTTTGGTTCATGGACTGGGAGTCAGACATTGACCGCTGTTTGGAGTACATCTCATTGGCTGGAATTGTGCTGGCGTCTGTCGTTACGTTGACAGGAGCAGCCAACATGGTCGTTATGGTGGCTCTGTGGATGCTGTACCACTCCATTGTTAATGTTGGCCAGCGATGGTATGAGGCGAATACATTCCAAACATGGGACATAGCATGTTAACTTATGTACCTTATATGGCAAATAATTATAATGTATTCAATATCAAAAATGTGTATGCTTTTATTATGGCATTTTTAGCTTAATTTAGTTATAGTTCTTGCATTTAATCATTTGTAGGTTGTCATTGTTAAAATACTGATAATTTATTATTTCTGTTTGTATTATAGGTACTCTTTTGGTGAGTGACAATGCTTTTATGTTCCATAAACACGGTTCAGCAATTTCTATTGTTGCACATGTCTGCTACTGATATAACTGATCATGCACCTATGCTCATAATACTAGTATAGTATTCCAAGTATTCGTGAATTGTAGAATAAGACAATTGTATAGTTTTACTCTTTTTCATTACTACAAGTGGTTTTTCTGTGTAAATGTTTACATCAAATGTTATTTTATAGGTTGGGAATCTCAGCTGTTAGAAACTGGGTTTTTAGCAATATGGTTCTGCCCTCTTCTGTCGTGGAGGCAATTACCTAGGAAGACTCCGCCATCCTTGCTTGTTGTCTGGGGTCACAGATGGCTAATCTTCCGTATCATGTTAGGTGCAGTAAGTACACCTTTTCATCAACCCATATACATTAACAAAATACTGCCTTAGGTGCTAATCAATTCTATCATTGATTTGCCATATAAATCAAATGATTACATTGGATTACCAGGTGTATTTCGTTAGACAAACAAATGAACAACTAATTTTTTTGCCTTGTTATTTACGACCTTTCTCGTTATTTCAACACTGAGTGATTCCTTAAAATTCATGTGGCTTTCCCATAACAACAGTTTGTTTTTTTAGCTCATCTGACATAGTCAGATGCAGCTTGTAGAATCGCATGATACGCAGTTTAGAAAGTTACATGGACTATAACATTGCACGCTGGATAGGTACTTCGGCGTTAAAAGCTATTGAGAGTTAATGTTTTCTTTACATATTATCTAGGCACACGAGAGATACGAAGGTATACCAGATAGGGCAGCGCTAGTGCTGTCCTCTAGCAACCCTGCGTTCGACCATCCACGCCCCACGATGCCCAACGTCCAGCATATCGGTGGTCATCTCTGCCAGCCGGCAAAAGCGCTGCCTCAGGTAATATAATTACGAGCGTTTTTGTCATGCACGCCATTAAATTTACTCGGAGAGTAGGCGGACGTACGTTGAAGTTTGCAATTTTCCGCGGATATATTTGATCTGTATATAAATACACGATATAGATCATTATACCGCAAGTGTCTATATCGCTATTATTTTGCGTTTCTCGCAGAAATTGGAGGCGATGCTGGAGACGTCCTACAAAAAAGTGGTATACGTGTCATTCGGTACGCTTATGCACGGACGGAAAGGAGTGGATGAAGTACGTTCGCGCATGCGCACTAAATATCGCGTTCATTGACCCTCAACCACACCACTTCTAACCTGTTTCGCTAATGCAACCGTGTTATTAATGAGTTTCGAAGTACAGTCGGCGCAGCTTAGATAGCGAGCTTGTTCTTGCACAAGGTAGTCAAAGACCTCAAGGGTTTAATATGATCGTCAAGGCTGCAAGTTCCTTGTGCAGATACTGGGACCCGATACACAGGTTGTTGCAGGGTTGCAGATAGCAGGGTTGCAGATAGCAAGGTTGCAGATAGCAGGGTGCAGATAGCAAGGTTGCAGAGAGCAGGGTTGCAGATAGCAGGGTTGCAGATAGCAGGGTTGCAGATAGCAGGGTTGCAGATAGCAGGGTTGCAGGGTTGCAGATAGCAGGGTTACAGATAACAGGGTTGCAGATAGCAGGGTTGCAGATAGCAGGGTTGCAGATAGCAGGGTTGCAGATAGCAGGGTTGCAGGAGCGGATCCAGAACTTGAAGAGGGTGGGGTGCCCTCCGATCAACGAAGTTGTGAAGCCCGTGGCGGAAGGTCCGACGAACCCATGGAATATGTTTCTAATAAAACCTCGTAGATACAATTTTCTATGTATCTAATAGCTCTTTGTCCTAAAAAAAAATCACGCGAATCTTTGAAGGCAAACGCATATCATTACATACTTATATATATATCAGGCGTTAATAATGACAAATTGTCATAATTATTGTTATACATACATTATTGTTATAACATGTTGTTATACAATTTATTATAATGTACCCATTATCTGTTATAGGTGTGTTCCAATTTGTCATATATATATATATATATATATATATATACGAGAAAGGTTTTGCTAAGCAAATATAGAGGGCACGCGCCGGCATTTTTTAAATCCGCGCATGTGTTGTGGTTATTGTCGTAGTTCAAGTTGTGACGCTTGGTATGGTTTTCTCGGCATATTTTAGAACAAACGTTTTATGGTGGCTCTTCGCGGTGCTGTCACTAACCTTCCGTATTTCTTCATGATTGCTGGCTTCAACATGACCAGTCCTCCGCCCAATGTTGTCACGTTAGGATGGGCACCTCAGAATGATCTGCTAGGTAAGCGAATCCAAAACTGATGCTATGATGATAACGAAATGCTTTCTTATGGCCGCAGTGTTTCGTGTTATCCAGTTTACAGAAACAAAAGAAGTCCGCACGGGAAGCGACGAATTAATGTTTACAGACTGACACCTAATATCTCATACTTTTTTTACTTAATATTACAAACAAGTATCTTTTCCACAGCTCACAGCAAAGTAGACGCATTTTTCACACACGGGGGACTGAATGGACTATGGCAAACCATCTGCCACGGAACTCCTGTCGTCGTCATGCCGCTCTTTGCTGACCATTTTCGAAACGCGCACTTGGCTCAAGAGAGAGGAATCGGCGAGATGATTGACTTCCATACTATAACAACAGAAAGCCTACAATCCGCTTTTAGGCGTGTTGTCGAGAATGACGCGTAAGTCTGTTGCGTACGATAATGACAGTATATCATAGAGGTCTGCTGTTAAAATAGCTAAGAATAAGACATAAATAAATCAACACTACTGCTTACTGCAAAAATAATATAAGCTATAAGAAAATGAAATCGAATAATCCCTGTTTGTTTTTTTTACCAAACACTTATCCGAATCGCTAATGCCCGCTAACTGGCTTCTTAATATAATACTGCTATTTTCTTCTTACATCTTTGCAGCTATCATGTTTGATGTTCAATATTTTTCGTTTTACAGATATGCAGCACGCATGCGTCAGCTTTCGAAACTGTATCATCACAGCCTGCCGATGTCTCCTGATGAGACCGTGTCATTCTGGGTGAATTACACGATGCTCTATGCCGATCAGCAAGCCCCTGCCTACACTGAACTGAACTTCTTACAATATTGGCTCATAGATGTTATTGCTTGTCTGCTCGTGATTGCTGCATTCTTTGCGTGGCTAACTTACGTAGTTCTCATAGCAAGCATATCTATAAGCACTCGTGTCATTCGTCGATGCTGCAGACGTTCTATCAGAAACATTATAACTGCGTAGTTATTGTTGTGCAATTAGGTATATTCCTTTACGTTTTCTATATAGAGAGATAAAACGTATAACAACAGTAAACAAAACAGCACTTTAATTGCTCTTTCCAGCGCAGGATGTGACGGGAAAGAAGTTATTTCCACTAATTTCACTAATATCTGAATGGATTGTAATGTTTCATACGTCGCGCAAATGAGCAAAACCGGAAGCTCGTGGCTGGCATATAAAGTTGCGTAGTACGTGACGTAAAAGTGATTAATCTGTTTACTCTTATTATATTATTTTATCACTACATTATGGGGTAAAATTCTTGACGGGAGTTGGGCAGCAGACCTGAAGAAGCTATATCTAAAACTCGGAGGATCTAAACTTTTTTCAAAATGTGAAGGCTGAAAGTAGCATCGTGAGCGTTCTAAGAAGGAAATAAAATGTTCTAAAGAAAACGATATATAATATATATATAGATAAAGTTATACATATTATAAAGTTATATATAAGTTATAAAGTTATATATATTATAACGATATATAATATATATAAAAGAAGTTCTAAAGAAATACCATAGATACTAATTAGCGCGCCATTGTCGATGACTGCTGCGCGCTGGCGCTAAACTGAGTTCATTGTAATGCCCGGCGCACACGTGAGTTATTTTACTCAAGTAAAATGACGCACGAGTCAAATTACTCAATGAAAATGTATTTATGTCTTATGTAATTATGTCTGCATTTACTAACAAGTTCGTTTCTCTTGTTCAGTGTCGCGGTCTCAGGTTTGCACAATATGTAGAACTTCTCTGTTAAGCATAGGTTGCATTTCTTCATAGTCTTCGAGTAGTACTAGTGTGGCGCTTTGCTCAGTATCTTCCATTTGATCGCGTAGTCTAGGTTATTGTCTTTCAAGTTCCAAATATGTTTACTAAGTTCTGTCGAGTTTCGTTTTGATTCCGTAGTGGAGGATGCCTTATGGTTCGCTAGCCTTGTTTTGAAGGAGGTAGCTGTTAGTCCGACGTATGTTTCTGTCTTGTTTTCGCTTGTCACTGTTGCTTGGTATACTATGTCTGAATTGTATACTAATATTGAATACTTCTTATGATATATATATACATATATATATATATATATATCATATATATACGAGAAAGGTTTTGCTAAGCAAATATAGAGGGCACGCGCCGGCATTTTTTAAAT